TCCACCTCGCAACTTGTCCTTCTGGATTTTTAAACTGCAATAGCCATTTTAGTGCAGCATGGTCAGTTCGTAAGTGAAATTTCCGCCCCAGAAGATATTTGCTAAAATGCTGCAACGACTTTACCACAGCTAGCAATTCGCGTCTTGTGACACAGTAGTTCCTTTCCGGTTTTGACAATGACTTGCTTAAGTACGCTATCACGACCTCTTGGTCCCGATTCCGTTGAGACAACACACCGCCAAGTCCTATATCACTTGCGTCTGTGTCAACTATAAATTTTTTGCTTGCATCAGGGTATCCCAAAATAGGTGTTTTGCACAGACGGTCCTTGAGCTCCTGGAATGCGATATTGCAACTTTCATCCCAGCAGAAATGTCGCTTCTCCTCGGTTAGCTTATGCAGAGGTTTGGCTATATCTGCAAAGTTATTCACAAATCCCGGTAATAGGAGCACAAACCGTTTGAAAAAAGTTTGAAACCGGCTAATCCTTGACAGCTGCGATTTTCTCTGGATCCGTGCAGATACCTTCTTCCGACACTACATACCCCAAAAAGTTGACTTGCCGTTTGAATAGTGAACAGTTCTTCGTACTCAACTTGAGGTTGGCACTCTGAATCTTCATGAGCACGCGTTCCAGGTTTTGAAGGTGTTCCTCAAAAGTACGGTCCACGATGATGATGTCATCCAAGTAGACCAGACAGGCATCGCCAATTAGCCCGGTAAGTACAAGTTCCATCAGCCTTTCAAACGTTGCTGGAGCATTGCGCAACCCAAACGGCATTGCTTTAAATTGCCACAGACCCTTTCCCGTCGAGAACGCAGTTTTCTCCTTGTCTTTAGGGTCAATTTCAACTTGCCAGTAGCCACTTTTTAGATCCAGCGTGCTAAACCACTTTACTCCTGTAAGCATGTCCAGCGTGTCATCAATTCTTGGCAAGGGATAGCTGCCCTTCTTCGTAACGTCATTCAAACGGTGGTAGTCAACACAAAACCGCATGCTGCCATCGTTCTTCTTTACCAGCACCACGGGTGAACACCATGGACTAGAGGAAGGTTCAATAACACCGTCCTTCACCATTCCTTCAATCATGATTTCTAGTTCCTTTTCACGTGCTACCGGCAATCTTCTTGGCCGCTGATGGATAGACAATTCTTCTCCTGTGTCTATTTTGTGTTGAACTAAGCCAGCCTTTCCTATGTCAGCATCGTTTGATGAGAATACATCGGCGTGCTTGAGTAACAACTTCTTTGCCTTGACCATTTCGTTCGGGGAGAGAATGCTGCGACAGTCTTCTAAACGTGTGCTCACTCTCGTTTGTGCATCCTTGCTGGGGGTCCCAGTCGATAGATATTGGCACCGACGTAGCCAATCCACTTCCTCACAAGTACCAACCAGTGTGCCCTTTTCTATAATCTGTTCCTGGTCACAAAGGTTCAGCGCACGTACTCCTGAGATGTTAGTGGTCCTGACCAAGGTTCGAGCCACTTTCCATGGAAGGTCATTGTCTAACCTTTCCACGAGTACACAACGATGAGGTTGTCCAGGATTCCGAGGAAGACTAACCGGCACAATCGTTTCCGATCTCGGCGGAAGAAAAATCTTCTTAAGGCTGTATACGTTCCCTGGTAATGCCCCTTCCACAAAAAGTTCCTCTTGCCCACACTTCAAAACACCTTGCTTAACGTCAGTCGCACAACAATTCTTCCTCATGAAGTCTAGGCCCAGGATGCAGTCGTCCATTATATCAGCCACGATGACATTATGCAGGTAGATCATGTTGCCTAGCTTCAACTCCATCTCTTTCTCTCCACGGACGGGTATACGCTGACCGGTGGCTGTTACCAAATTAATGCGTTCTCGGTTGTATGCGGAGTCCCCAAGGAACTGACTTATAAGTTGTGAACTAACAACCGTACGAGAGGCTCCAGTATCTATGGTCAGTTTACACGGCATTCCGTTGACCTCGCCCTTGATGATCAGACTGTTCCCATCATGGGTTTGTGAGATCGAGATCCTTGGGGCTCTTTTAACATCAGCCAGCACCCACCCGCAGTTCTGACTTTTACTCGTTTCCCTGCTGCTGCTGGGCGGGGCTGTTAGCCGCACCACCCTCCTGATATCGTTCACCTTCCCTTTCTACGGTTCGCTTAGAGCAGCTGGATCGAAGATGGCCCCTTTCCCCACAGCCATAGCACCAAGGGCTGTACCCTTTATTGCGGTCGCGAACCGTAGCTGCTGCAACCTCCCTGACGCGATGGGAACGATGATCCTGTCGCACGGCTTCCACCTCCAGTGCATGGGCCAAGGCGTCCTTAAGCGTTTCGTGGTGCCCCAGCCTCACAGCAGACCTAACTTCAAGGTCGCGGATGCCGTCGATGAATGTCTGTACCAGGTTCCCTTCAATGAGCGCATGTACAGACCGGTATGCTTTTCGCACCAGCTTCTCCACTTCTAGAGCCCACTTCTGCAGGTTTTCATTGATGCGCTGCACGCGATCTTTGAGCTGCGCACGAAAGACGTGTTCCAGGTGAGCTTAGCCATATCTCGCCTCCAATGCCTCAAGGAGCTGCTCATAAGTCACTTCCTCACCGAGAGCTTCCAGAACTGTTAAGGCCTGGTCGCGCAGGCCTAGTATGAGAGCAGTCATGGCCTGCCTTTTATTCCAGCCGTTCGCCTTCATAACGGCTTCAAACTGGATTTTGGGATTTTGTAAGCTGACCAGGAAGAAGTCTCGTTGAACGGTGGCACTTTGAACCCATCTAGCGAAGGTATTGTAGCTACTACGGGAGCTGTTATTCCATTCCCCAGTTTGAGGTCGTCCAGCGTTTTCTTCAAGTCAGCCATCACGTTGTCAACCCGATTGTTCACTTGGTTGATTTGGGTTTCAGCTTTCGCGATCCAGGTTTCAGCTTTCGCGATTTGGGTTTCAGCTTCCGACAGGCGGTTGTCATGGTGAGCAACCCTATCCTTCACCTCCTTTATCTCCTTACCGAAGGTAGCGTGAAGGTTCTTCATGAGGAGCATCTGCTCTTCCATACGACGGGCCTGTTCCTCTTGTTCACTCTGCAGCTGCGCTTTCAACTGACGGACCTGTTCCTCCTGTCGGCGAGCCTGCTCCTGTAGCATCACCATCAGAGCACCTAAGTCAGGTGCTGCAGATGTAGGAGCTACTGACGGGCCTGCAGCCGGTGGCTGGCTCTCCGACGTCTGCGGCGTTGCACCACCAAATCTTCTTTAGTCCGTTTCCTGCTGGCGTTGACTTCGGGTACGGACACCCTCCGTTTCCTCCTTAGGTAAAATCGGCATGATTTTATCCCACTTCTGACACCAATCGTTACGAGCTTGAGGTTCGTGACAATAAAAATTGCCGATAGAATTACCAAAATTAACTCTTTAATTCACTTTACACTCATTAAAACTTAGAAGACACTAATAATTAATCACACTGATTCACTTTATTTCGCTCCGAAGCTTCGCTTGTCTCGCCGAATTCAATACTTCCAAGATCGCACCTTGCAGCGCCTATAAATACACATTAGCACCGAAACATCCAGAACATTCAAGTAAATATGCGCAAGGCGTCGAAAGTTTGAGTGTCGGCTTCTAGAAGCTTAGTTCTTCGTTTCGAAATTAGATGGCGCTGTCGGTTGAAAGATTAGTGATGTCATTTTCTGGAAAGTCCCCCCGCTCTCGTCCCTGACACAATATGACGTCAACTTAGGCGCGCAACACTACTATCGCCCGGGGATCTACTAATGCAAAGAGGCCTGACAATGCTCTACTCGCGTAATTAATGGCAACGCTCCGCACTAGCTCGCTTACGTTTGCAATACGTTATGTGGCCGGCTACTCGCGCTTATATTACCAGTCCCTTTGACTCGCACCCAAAAAACCGACATCAGGGAGCGATGGGCATGACGAGAAACATGATATGGGGTATGACGAGTATTGTGGCCGCACTGTGTCTCTGCCTCCTTATCTCGTTATTTCTCATGCCACTCGACAACTGTGTGGCAAATGGGCTACGGTCTACGATCATTGAAGTAATATTACGTATTAAAGTATAATAGCCGTAAATCCCGCCGCTGATTTGTAGAGATAAATATGAAGACTTCAGGTGATAATGCATTTTCATTTTGATTTATATATGTAACTATGTTTGTTGTATATCAATAAGCCAGAACCTACCATGAGGTTGGCTGCGTTCTCGTATGTCACAATTACTTGTAGGTATACAAAGAAAATATATTAAAAAATCTAAATTGATAACCACTGAGACATACTCATAGCCTGGCGGGTTAATTAATTCACTTTTCAGCGAAACGTTGTCGTAGTAAGATTAAACAAATTATTACTTCGATATCTCGAGGGAAACTAATACCTGAAATTAGAGGCCAGAATCTGAATGACAGAGTGAGAAATTGTGTGATAAGAGAAAAGTGTGGTTTCAAAGACGATATTGTGATTAGGATTAAGAAAGGAATGCTTAGCTGGTTTTATCATGTAGAAAGAACGAAAAGTAACAAAGAAAATATGTTGCAGAAATGAGCAGTAGGGTTAGCAAGGGACGCTCTAGACAAAAATTTATCGGCCAGTTATAATTAGAAGCTTGTTGGTTACGGGTACTCTCAGTATCAAAGATATAATATGGATGTAAAGGAAGCAAGTCAGTGTTGTGCCAAATGGTTGTTCGTTTTCTTTTAATAGAATTACGGGGAAACGAGGATTTGGCTCACCTGATTAAAACTGTCATCTGAATGTAAAGTTACAGCCTATATACATCCTACTCCTAGGTACACGCCTCCTAATTTTTAAGTGGTTTTCTTTATAGAAGAGGGGCAAGTGTCGGCCACCGCCCATGGATAATTGAGATATCAGGGGAATCCCCTAGTGAATCGGACAGTGGTGGACCGTCAAGCATTCAGAAGGTGTAGATGGTATCGGGGATTTTGTCGAAATATGTGTGTTGAATTCGCTGTCCATCTGTGAGTTACACGCTTAATTATGTTTTGAAACAAATACCTTCTCGTCGTGCAAGCGCACGTGCTGTGCAGCGAGTCGCTGCCGTTCCGCGCGCTCGGCGTCACGAAGTTCAACGTAGCGGCGCTGCTGCTCACGCAGCGTCTCCAGCTCCTCTTCCTGCGCCACTTCTGCGAGCGCCTGCTCCGTCGTCTTACCCACCAGCACTTCCAGGATTGGCTGCACCTCTACGTCGAAGTCAAATAGCTGCCCAAGGAATAAAAAGTTTTTTTTTATTGAATAAGGGTGACCAACGGGCACCCAGTCCACCCTGATGGTTAGGCGATGCAACGGCCCATAGATTTCTACATCTATCCAAGATGTAGATGCGTTGCCAACCCTGATGACTAAGCTATGACTCAGTCTCAGTAAAAAGGATCTCTGGTTCCCTTTACACACTATACGAAACACAGCAGCATTAACATGCTATTTGATGTGGATATTCTGTGAGAGTATAGTCCTTCCCCGGTTAAGACGACCCATTCGTGCTACAACGATAACGCAGTATGGCTCTAAAGTTAGTAAAGTAATACAGCTCGAAGAACAGATAACCGATGAAAAATAAAAGTTCTTGTGGTAGGAATTATATAAAAAATAAGAATTCTTGAGGTAGGTAGGAACGGCATATGTTATGCAGGAATTGAAAGCAGGTTGCTCACCACCGAGTTTGTGGCATCCCTTGCGGAAAGCCTATATATAGTAGTGGACTTAAGAAGGACTAAATGATGATGACATTGAAGTAAATCTATAGTTTATATACTTTCCACTGCTGGGCGTAGGCCTCTTTTTATTTCCATTTCCATTAATCCATTCATTCTTCGCCAGACTACCCTAATGCGTGTTTGTGTATTTATTTATACATTTTTATAATATATTTTTTTTATATATTTGATTTCTTTTATATATTTTTATTCTTGGGGCATTCAGATATACAATGTTTTCCGTCACCGACCGACCACGTGGTGAATAAGTCCTTATAAATACAATTTACAATCTCGGGAATCCCGAGATTGTAAACAGGTACGGCAGGGATCCCGGGTTGCTCGTGTACTATAAATTTCATAGTGCAATGAGTATTTACGCTTAGACCCTTAGCTACTACGACTTTCAATAAGAAATTGGCTTGAATTAGAAATTGTAGTAAGTATTATTGTAGAAAAAAATATTTTTATTTTATCCTATTAATTTATTTCATACAACATGAAGTATAGGCGGATGGTTAAGACACGTTCAACCGTTAGTCAACCTATGGGTGATGCGGAGATAAAAATATGAAGTATAGTTGCACGGGTCGTAAGCACAGATAAACAGGTGGAAGGTGGGAGGTAAGTATACTGTTGGGCAAAATTATTGGGTACCTTTATTATTTCAATTCGTAATTGAATACTTTCGCCAACTTTTATGAAAATGTTTACTTGAGCACATCAATGATTTCTTATATTTACGCGAATACTATACATTGATTAAAACTACTTTTACGGATTTTATCGCATTTTATTTATTTTTAATACCCGACGTTTCGGGTGCTTTCCAGCACCCACGGTCACGGGGGACTGAGGTGACTGACGTCCCGATGTCAAAGTTAACCCGGAGTACCTTCAGCTTTTTAATTATTGTCTTTGGTCCGATCTACGCAGAATGAACTAACTGTGTTTTGAAGTCTTGCAGTGGTATGCTTGGGTTTAGTTTTAATTTTATTAATTATAGGATCCCAAGCAGGTGGTAGTACCCAGCCTACTTCTCTATTGAAATTAGGAAGTTTTTTAATTTCAATAGCCTCACGTATCATCCTTGGTAGGAATCGATGTTATTTCGCGAGTATTTGTGGTCTATCAAATCTGATGTAATGGTTGGGGCCATCTAGGATATGATCGCAAACTGCAGACTTCCCGGAACGTTGATGCTTCACGTCAGCTGTGTGTTCTTTTATGCGGGTTCTAATTGATCTAGGGCAAACAAAGAGATAAATTTAAAACTAAACCCAAGCATACCACTGCAAGACTTCCAAACACAATTAGTTCATTCTGCGTAGATCGGACCAAAGACAATAATTAAAAAGCTGAAGTTACTCCGGGTTAACTTTGACATCGGGACGTCAGTCACCTCAGTCCCCCGTGACCATGGGTGCTCGAAAGCACCCGAAACGTCGGGTATTAAAAATAAATAAAACGCGATAAAATCCGTAAAAGTAGTTTGAGCACATCAACTTTTACTTTGATACAGTAACGTTGCAGATATTCGTGTCCGTTATTTTATTATCTACTATAAAGTATTTAATGCATACCTGGTGGTTAGAATTGAATATTTTATTGAGAAGAGACATTAGTCGCCTCAGCAGTCTGTTTATATACGTCTATGATGTTTTTCGCAGTAGGCTAATTTTTCATGTAACTAAACGCTGAATAGACCATTAGTCGGGATTGTCTATTTAACACCGAATTATTCCTTTTCTGCATATTTAGACCAAAATCTGAACACTCAAATTATAACAACAAAAATAATTAAAAACAAGAAATAACAAAAACTATTAATAACAAGGAATACACAAACAATAATTAACAACGAGGTAACAAAAACAATTACCGAATTAAAAACTAATTAAAAAAGTTATCACTAAAATTGCTCTCAAGTGTACGGAAGCCGAATAATAAGTTCGCACCCAATAGACGACGAGAATCGACTGATGAACCAATCACGTTGAGCGTCAGCGTGGTCAACGTCGTATCGACCAATAAAAAGTGTGCTCACGACTTGTCCAGGTAATTATATATGAGTATGTGTAAAATGTTAAAACATAGAAATATGAATGAAAGTAAATAAATATAAAGCAAAATAATATACATCTCAAAAATTATTTAATATAAAAGCACTATATATTAAAATTATATATAAATTATGTAGATATAAAGCTAAATAAATTAATAGATTACTTATGCAAATATTTATAAAAATAAAAATAAGATGATATTAACATTCAAATAATGCTCACGAACTTTTTTCTTGAATGCTTGAATAATGATCCAGATTTTTTATTTACTAAATGTTTGAATTATATACTCACATCTCCCGGATATATCTGCGTGTACGCGTCGGCACCCGTTTTCGCAGGCACGTAAATGGGACTCGCAGGCCGGTCCAGGAACAGATCCGTCTGGACGCCCACCTCCATCTCAACGCCTTTATCAAATAGCTAAACACGTAAATTTCACGTTATAAACATGTATATACGTCTCAATTAGGAGTAAATTATGTATAACTTATGTATTTATAATGCGTAATATGTTTTTTGTATTTTATATATATCGTGATCAGTGACCAGTGATGATATATTAGGGATCTGTTATGTGGTTCTTACCTGCTGGACGTATGAGGATGCTTAAAATCGCTCAGAGAACTATCGAGAAAGCTATGTTCAGAGTTTACCTGTGTGATAGAATCCGTAACAATGATATCCGAAATAGAACCAGAGTAATCGAAATAGTATTATGGATCAGTAAGCTGATTTAGCTACGGTTGGGATTTAGCTTGACGAATTTACAACTATTGCAGAAGAAAGGTTCTCAAGTGGCAGCATAATACCGACGGCTGAATGATGATGGCTCGCACCTTTGACTCTGCCGCCAGTCGTGCGTCTGCTGATAACAACATGATTATACCGCCATATATCGGAAGCCATAAGATCCCACACAAGGGACGAAATGGCGTGATGGATACTCTTAACGCCACCACCAGGGAAACTATATCGATCGATGGTATTAAAATTTTGGATGTGAATTCTACGGTGGTTACGTGTTTTTGACTACGGTCACGTGTACGTGAGTGGTACTGGTAGCTGGGGTTGCCAACATTACTAATTTTATTTTTTGTTTGTAACTATTTCTCTCTTTTAATACTATTTACTGCTATTTTAGAAAAGGTTTACAGAATACTGTTTTATCAACTCTGGTATCTGAATAGCAGCTATAAACTTGAAATAGAGCTTCTATTAATTTAATAAAAAGTTGCCTGCTCCTTATTATTTTAAGTTTGACTCAAATTGGACAGAGGCTTATGAATATTTTAAAATAAATATTCTTTATATATTTATATATTGGCACATTTTTTTTACCTAATAAAAGGAACCCTAGCCTCTAAACTAGGTGTAAAAGTGTATCTTAGAAAACAAATACAATAGATTCTGGCGACTTCTGTGTAAATGGAATTCGGTCGAACAATATTAAATCATTATTGTAAGAAGGACTACGAAATGTGTTTTAAAAATTAAAATATTATAATAGAATACTGTTTATTTTTCCAAACTGTTGTACATTTTTCTAGAATACTTTTACTATGGTTCTCCAACTTTAAAATACAGGGTTATTTTTAAAGAGTAGCCAAATTGTATATTTAAGTTCAAAAACATATGAATAATACTGTTATTGCAGTTTTTGAAAATAGGAGTAAATACTGCTTTTTATTTTTTCTTGATACTACGTCAAATTAAATGTGATTTATGGAAAAAAACTACACGTACGCGCGCTACTGTTAAATGTTTTTGCCTACCGATCGACCCTTACGAATGTGTGTGTGCGTACTGTGTAGTAAATAGTAGGCGTTACATATTTATGAATGACAATCAGTTAAAATAATGCATAACCTCTCATTTTGAATTGAAAGGATAAAAAGGATAGAATATTTGAGATTTTATTAAATGAATTTTTCCTCATCGTTCGCCTATATTAATTATTCCGAACCTTCTGTGTCAATATGGCCGTAAATTGCAAAATAACCCTGTATACTTTGTACATCGTACAAAAATTTGGCAACCCTAAGTGAAGCGTGCGTGGTGGGTGGTGCGTACCTCCTGCAGGTAGTGGTCGGTCTGCACGGGCAGGTGGCGGCGCGCGGGCGCGGGCGGCGGCGAGCCGGGCCGTAGCCGCGCCAGCGCCGCGCGCCGCGCCAGCGCTCGTCTGCGCGACCGGCTCGCACCATCTCCCTGTCTCAACACAAACAACCAACTTAAAAAACAAAAAAAAAAAATAATTAAAATAATTAAAGCGACAGGAGCCTAATGGTAGTTTGCGGATTATGAACTCAAAAGGTCATAAGTTCGAAACCATAATTCGACTAATTGTCGTTGTTCAAAATGAACAGCTTTCTTTTTGTAGTATAACGGTGACAAACGAGCACACAGTCCAACTGAAGGTTAGTGGACGCTGTGGCCCGTAGACATCCACATTTAACCTCCATTAAGAATCTGCAGTTACCTTTCTAATCATCTGCAATGCGTAGAAATCAGCAATAATAAATAAAGTTATGAAATAGTTTCACATAAATCAGCTCTTCTACATAATAAATACGGTGTCCCACAAGAAAGCGACATGGCCCCGTTGTTGTTTTGAGTTTATATAAATGGTTTACATTACACCATTTATATAAACTCAAACATGTTAATTAACTATCCATCAGTTTTACGTGCAGTGATAATTCCAAATCGTGACAAAGGCGTAAGCTACAACCAAAAAATCAATGAAACACTTAAATATATAACTGAATGGCTACCCCAAAATAAACTGTGGGTGTATGTATTAAAATCAAAATTTATACAGTTTTCACATTATAATTCAAATTGACTGAATTACAAAATAGTTTGCCAAGAACAAGAAATTGAAAAAACAGAGGATACCAATTTTTTGGGTATTATTCTTGACCTGTATTGTAATTGGAAGTCACATATACATAGCATTTGCCCAAAATTGAGCAGATTCGTATTGTCCATAGGCGTTTAAGATATACAGCTGGAGAAAAACGGCGTTAACCGAATATTACGGCTATGTTGCATCAGTACTGAGAAATGGACTTATATTATGGAGAAATTCTCCAAATATAGACAAAGCATTTATCATACAAAAAAATGAGTAAAAGCTATTTCAGGAGCAGGACTAAGTGATACTTGCCGACCATTAGACGACATCTTAGAAGCAGGACTTTTTGTTATGCTGCGGCTACACTAAGGAGAAATGCCGTTAATTATCGCGTTGATGGACGTTGAATGTAGGTATGGCCACGAATTAACGCGATAATTTGACAACGGCATTAACAATGCCGTTTCCCTTTTGCCGATAACTCGAGTGGCGGTACATCAAAGGATTAACGCGCGAATTATCGCATTGAAGCGGCCACACTACGTTTGTCTCACTGTGCACGGTGAGTGCCACGGGGTTGCACGTATTTCTGCGATGGAGTGGAGTAATGAAAAAGCTTTTCGAGATTGAATTAAAAAAATTACTTCAAAAGTACTTTAATTTACGGTAGAAACTGAGAAAAATAAGCAGGAGAAAAAAGAACAATTTTTGCAGGTCAAAATTCATAGTGTACAGTGGTACGGAACTCTGGGTATGTGTATCTAATTCGCACTTGACCAGTATTTATGATTGGCTTATTAGTTATTATTTCATTAAAATATATTTACGTTTGTCTTATTATTTAGCTTAAACCATTGGACGTCTTTTTAGTGCAATTTTGGTGCGGGAAAACAAAATAAAACATAAATAGATTTACAGTGTACGTTTCCTGTGGATTTGTAGCATCCATCATCTTTTTTTTTTTTCTTTGTATACTTTTTTCTTTGTTTATTTTTTATTTTATAGGATAGGGTGACAAACAAGCACACAGTCCACCTGATGGTATGTGGATGCCGTAGCACATAGACATCTACATCTATCCTCGATTACGAATCAAAATGCAGATGCGTTGTCACCCGTGAGGAGTAGGATGGAATGCCTCGTTTCCAGTAAAAAGAGTCTCCGGTCCTCTACACTCACCATACGAAACACAGCAGCATTAAGCTACTATTTTACGCTGTATTCTGTGAGAGCGTGGTCCTTCCCCGGTCGAAACATTTAACGCTGTTCAACAGCAAATTTAACGCCGTTCAACGGCAAATTTAATGCCGTTCAACGGCGTTGAAATTGAAACTACGTTGACCGTTCAAGTGTAGCCACTCATTTTATCGCGTTAAATTTAAGGCAATATTTGTTGCGTTTATGGGCATTGACGTTGCTCGTTAGTGTAGCCGCAGCATTAGAAATCATCCACAATTGTTTCAGAAATTCGTAATGGTCAATCTACTTCTACACCCTAGAGACACTAACAGTCTTTTGGCTCCATGGTGTAAGAGTTCAATTTTTAAAAAGAAACTTGCTACATGATGACTATTAAAATTTATAACAAAATTCCCTCTGATATCCGGGAGTTATCTTCCCCTCTCTTTATGAAGGCGCTAAAATCATGGCTAATTGATAAATGTTTGTATAGTGTAACAGAATATTTTGAAATAACATAATACCTATGTACATAATTAATTATAAATTCCGTAAATAAATCCGTAAATAGTAGTTTTATTCAATAATTATAAATTCGTCAAATTTATTATATTAATATAAAATTTACTTTAAAGAAATTAATGAATACAGACATTTTATCTCTAAAAACAATTAGTAACTCATATTGATTATTTATTTATTAAAATGTAAAATAATGTATTAAGTTAAATGGTAATATTTGCATAATAACCAGAGAATTGTAAATTATAATTTTATTGTTATTAAAATTATGAATTAATTTATACTGTAGTGTTATTATTAAAATAATAATAGCTTAACTAATTTCATATAATGTTTAATATTCATTATGTAACAATAATATAATAATTCAATTAATAATTTAAGAACAATTTATTGTATAAGAATTCAAATAGAATGGATCTGTATAAGTATTTAATTGTTCATAATATTTGAATTAAAAAGAATGTTTATACATAACTTTTAATAAATAAAGTAATTTTAAAATGTAAGATTGGCTTAGTGTAATTAGCTGTATTTCATATAATTTTTACATGCCAATTATGGCAAACATGTCAGTTCCACATCATTGACCAACTTATTTACCATGTTTTTAAGCAAATAAATTTTCTATCATCGGATATAAGTGGACTTAGACATGTTTGGGGCATAGACCCCTAGCACAAACAACTTCTTTAAGCCCACTTTCATTCGTATCCATAGCAGTCTTGGGCATTCATACTCTTTCACACATTGGCCCATTCTTTCTGAAAGGATGACACCTACTCCCTGGCACGCCCACTCGGTGCCGTCTATACCAAACCAGTATGCGGTATACATGCCATGTATAGTGACATCCTTCCCTTTCCGTTTCGTCTCATTTACACATTCCTCTATCATCATGCATCACATTGCAAACTTCATCCATCTTATCATTCGTACCCAAATACATTCAGCGTAGCCTGACGGGCTTCTGCAATCAACTTTTCGTCCCTCCGGGAGACAGAACGTGACGGGTAGCGAACCTCGTTGCCGGTTTGCCTCCCGGAGATTCTTCGAATCCCCTGCCTCATTAAAGGGGCGCCGGGAACTCGGGGCCATTTAAACATTAAAATTAACTGGCTGAAACTATAATTAACTGACCGAATTATAATAATTTACTTATTAATATTCAAAAAACTAAAATAATGAACTTTTACCAGATACTTCGCACTAAAGATTTAAATATAAATTACCATAATAAAATAATAGAAAGAGTATATATGTTGCAAAATTTTTATATAATAAAGATATTGATTAATTTGCAACCTTCCGCTGAATAAATACAATGATGTGTCTTACCTGGGTTGAAGAGCACCTCCCGCTCCCTCGCGGGAGTAGTGGTGCTGGGACTAGTGGTGACGGAGTTAGTGCATGCAATTGAGGGAGGGCGGGAGGTGCTCTTCATCATCTTCTTTCTCTTCTTCATGAACATCCAGGTAAGACACATCATTGTATTTAGTCAGTTTTTTATAATGGATATCATTGTATTTAGTCAGTTTTTTATAATGGATTACTAGTTGTTTATTATAATGGATTTCCGCAAAGTAACACCTGATTCTATCAATTAAATTTTTATATTTTAAGCTTACCACGTACAAATTTTAAGAATTTTGCAATACTTTTTGAAATGTTTCACAATTGTTATAATATGACACCTTATTCTCACTTTCCTAAAATGTTAAAATTTGTTTCAGTTCTTATAATATTATCTTGGCCTTACTAAACCATTTAAAGTAATTTTAAGAAAAAGTTTCAAATTGTCCCATTTATTTATTTACTAAACGGCTATAGAAAGAAACAATGTACACTTAAATTAAGTAAGCAATAATTATCGATTTATGTTAGGCCGTAATCTATATGAATGGCGTTCTGTATAATACATTGTAATTAATAACAAAAAATTATAAGATTTGACCGAGTTAAATTTTATTAAAATTTCGATAGGGAAAACTAATTGTTTATATGCCAAAGACATTAATCGGTTGTTAAATTTTAGAATTCTGATGATACTTGTTCCCAAGGCGAAACATGTATCGATTTTGTCAAGAATTATTTATCATCTTTTCCCGCTTGTTTCCCTCCTCTGGATTTGCCAGCTGACGTTGGGAAATTAAGGATGGTGTAATAGAGTTTGTGTTATGATGACGTTAAATATTCGATAAAGGTAGTCTTCAAGTGGGGGTAAAAATACTTTTATATTAATAGGGTATTTAACACCATGTAAAAAAATTCAAAAAATATATATATTTATGATAGATTTTGTAAAAAGTAAACAAGAAATATTGATTTCTATTTATAAAATAGCATTATAAATTTTATATTTCAATTTTAAAAACATTTTTTTGTGTGTGCCTCAAATCTGCAAAACACTATCCGCCATATTCGAGACTGTCGTGACGTCACTGATCCCACCTGAGGGTAGTAGTGTTCTGTGTCAGTGATTAAGAGAACTAGCTAATGTGCTGTGTCATTTTGAAAATTTTCAAGTTATCATTACGATTATTGAATTTTATTCCGAATTTTATTGAAAAAGGCATCACGGACGACTAATTCGTAAAAGCAGAAAGTACTAAACTACCAAGGATAAATAAATTGATGGTGGCAATTTTTTTTTGCATGCTATCTCAATTTTT